CAATATGGCAGACTCTGATCAACATTCCCAGCACAAGGATGAAGGCGGGTGAGAAGGCCAGCGTGGAGTGCGGACGGTTATCATGAAAGCTGCTCAAAAGGGCACACCATACCACCTTTAATTAATCAAGTAAAAAATTTTGACAGTAAAGGCGTGATAGGAGGACATAGGAAATATGAATAGGCCAGGGCAGAAGGGGAGATACTACAACTGTTTAGCACACGTTTGGTCAAAGGATGAGCTTCACTTGTCTCTTTGACGAGTTCTAATATGGTGCTACGAATGGCAAAACTCAGTGACGATGCCGACTACGATGCCGGCGAAACGTCTGGGAATGTACCACGTCCACAGTCTGACTTTGGAATTGATGATGCATACAATGGACTATGGACAAGGTACGTTACTCCAAGTCTTCCTACCAATATGACCATGTTGCGAAAACAAGGTCAAACAACTTTTATACAACGAGAGGAGACTGCGACCACACAAAAGGCCACACCATCTTGGTCTTCATCCTTCTATTAATGACGTTTGCTTGTTCGTGCTTAGATAGATTTCTCTAACTTTTATATCTTCCGATCAGTATTGCTTTTTTTTCGAATGCACACAACAAATGAATATCAACAAATAATTGAAGGGTTGCAGAAATAGCTGATGCAAAGCTCCTAAATTTATCCATACCTCTTGATCTATTGCATCTAAAAATAGATGGAAGAAAAATGACTTATCCAATTCTCAGAACGTCATCATATTCTGGATCACATATATATTAATATTCAAAAAGGAGCAAAAACAACCCAAGCAAGCTTGAAAGTATTTTTATAGGGTAAGGATCTGTAATAAAAGAAACAGGGCGTGAGCAATACAAAATATCAGTTACGAGGAAGTGTCAGAGGCAAAGGGACAAGACGGAACTAAGAAACGCGTTGGTACAAAGTCGAGGCTTCATAAACGTTGCATAATTCCTGCCGCAATATAATGACGTGATTTTGAAGTTAATCAAGCTTAACTAAATATCATAAATTAGTATACAAACGTGCATTGAAGTGTCTTAATATTGCGTTTGCTACAAAATATCATAATTTGAGCCAAATTCCTATAGGTTCACCTAAAATTGTGATGAATGAGATGTCATGTCGGCGAATTACCTGTCAAGCTGGATTTGGTGATCTTAAAATAATGCGTGGGATGCAATAGAACAAAGATAGCGATAGAATAAGTAGATGAAAAAGGTCAGATTTAAAGCCTGGGGAAGTGCAATTAGTGATACTACCCAATTCTTCTAATTATCTAATACAATGGGCTACAAAGCAAGATAAAAGATAGTGATCGGAATCATTAAGCTATAAAGATAGCAGTAATAATGAGGTCACATGGCAACAATATCAATCTGAGCCTTCATGGTTCATACAATACGAAGAATCAAAAGTATATCTAAGAGTAAATGTAGAATCACACAAATAGAATTGAGCTTAAAAGTGGAAAAATTAACAAGTGCCTTTATAATAAAATGTCAAAGCAAAAATTGAACGAAAAGAGCGAAATTGAGAAGTCTCGATAACTTATTAGTTCTGGTTATACGAAGAAGTAAAAAAGGAGTTTGAGCCTAGTTCAGGTGTCTTGGTTTAAAAAAATTCCTGTTCGAAGTTTATGTGTATCTGCAATGGGGATAGATTTTGAATTTATCCAACTATTTATGTACACGAAGGTCCGAGTAATTATTGTGTTGAATAGTACATTGTCTAATTGAATGTCATCATATAGGGACTAAGTAAAATGAGAACCACTGCCTCTGACAAGCAAGTCTGTTCTAAACACCTATCTACATATTATTATACACATTATATATATGCAAAGGCACTTAAGTGTATGAATACCGGATAAATTAACTCTATCTTGTGCCTTTATCTACTCTCGTCTGTGTTAGAAATCTGTTTGTCGCGCCACAGTGTCACACTCTTAATCTGCTTGTCAGTCATCAGCTACTCTTCTGCATACAGTTTTGTGGCGTTTTTTGTTGTCCCAGCCATCATCATCACCTCATCCTCCGGCTCCTCCCCATCCATGACCAGATTATCTGCTAGATTCTCGCCACTTGTATCTGGCATGGCAACAAGTACGCCAAACGCAAGACCGATCATGCCGGCAAAAACGACGACGGGAAGGCCATGACGAACACTATCGCCAAGTTGGTTGACGTAGGTGCAAAGAACAGCCCCGAAACGTCCCAGGCCTGAGGTCGTTCCTAAACCCTGTGCACGCATCTGACTGGGATACAGTTCAGGCACGTAGGCGTATAGCAGACCAAGGGCAGCTGATATACAGACAAGACCTATGGAAATTCCTACGGTGAGCAAAGAGTCATCGGCCGGAGCAACAACAAAAGTGTAAAGACCGGATGTCCCAAGGCTTACAAAACAGATCGCGTAGAGAAGGACGAGTGGTGTTCGCCGGGATCGCATGAACCGGCCAATCAAACAGGAAACAAGTAATCCAGGCAAGTAGGTAGCCGCATTGACAAGCACTATGATGTTGACATGCTGGCGAACCCGACTGGCATATAAAAGCAAGCCGAACATTGCCATCATGTGGTTGGCAAACAGTAGCGTGGCTAACAATGTGATTCGTCGCAGATAAGGTGTTGCCAAAGGGGCAAAAAAGGCCATGAGGAAAGTCGATGTGCGTCCAGAATGGGATCGAGTGGTCTGATGAGAGGCTCGCGGACATTGCATAATGGTGGCGGCCAGCTCGTTGAGTTGAGACTCATCCCTTGAGAGGATGCGGCCTCGAGTCGCCTGGCAGCAGGCCGACGGCGTTAGGGCCATATTTGTACGACGTCCAGAGATGAGAATTCGCATTGCCTCGGGCCAGCGACCCTGTGATGCGAGCCAACGAGGCGATTCGGGCAGCCAGTAGAGATGGGCAAGACCGAGGATGGCTGGAAGCATGGTTACGGCATTCAGCCAACGCCAGTGGGCCGGCAACAGGAGGGCAGAAAGGACAAGCAGCCCAGGAAATACAGAATTGAGCACGAGAAGGCGGAAAGCACTGACGAGGCTGCGATAGTCAGCCAAAGTCAGCTCCATGGGTAGGACTGTCAGACAAGTAATTTTGCCGGTCATCGCGAGGCCGACAAGACAACGGAGAAGGGCAAACAATGCAAAATTGGGAGCCAAAGAGACAGTCAGTCCGGCGAGCATCTCAAGCGCGGAGAAGGCGAGTACAGTTCGCCTACGGCCATAGCGATCGCCAAGCCAGCCGCCGAACAGGAAGCCTAAAACCATGCCAAGCATGTAAACAGCAGTACCAGTGGCCGAAAGCCAACGGACAGAACATACTAAGCCAAAGTCTGCCACCACGCTATCAGCGTACTGGAATTCGGTGGCCTGAAAAACGTAGCCGTCGACGCAGTCCTCAAGTTGTAAAAGACTGGCATTACTTACAAAGTTTTGCAGCGACTTCAGGAGGCAAGAAGAATCCATGATTTTTGAGAGATTCGCCAGCCAATTGGCGGGTAAATGATATCGGTTGCAACCGTAAGTATAACCATTAGGATCGTTGGCTTTTTGCCCATCAGCAAAGTCTGAGAACCAAGGGCCAATAAGCCTAGCGGTCTGAGAGAAAGACATATTTAATTCCATCAACCGATGCTCCAGAGCAGCAGGTGCCTGGCATCTGTGAGGGTGATCGACGCTAATATATACCGGCAGCATGCTAGAATTGGGCGTAGTAATGGCACATAAAATCATGATAAGCCATTGCCAGGGCCCGAAAGCACCCACGTACTCAGTCAGCAAATAGTCCATATTCGGCAGTGAAAAATGGTTCCCCTTTTCTTTCCCCTTGACCTCCTCAATACCAAAGCCATTATTATGCAGGTATGTAGGTTGGATGCCATCTTTTTTGATGCCAGGATCTTTTTCACATCTTTCTTCATTGAAAAGACTAACTGAAACATCGAGAGCATCATTGCTAGGATATATTTTTTTCAATAGAAAGGGCATAAGAACAACAACTCCAGGATACTGGATGGCAATTGCAGGAATTTCTAGACTGCCTGGCAGAAAGCAGCAAAAGGAAGGTGTAAAGAGACAGAAACTGAATAACCTGGATCAGAGGCTCTTATATATACACACATGAGCTGGCCGGTCAAATGGCGAGAGGGAATGTCGCACATCGTATATCTAGCCATTTTACACGGACTCGAAACAAATCTCCATTGACACTGAGAAAATGGCTTAAATGGCAGGTACCGAATCACATTGCTAAAGCTATCAAGAGAAAAAGTGGAATCCATGCGACTCAAAAGAAGTATTAGACTCTTAATCAAATAGATTAGGGCGTGTGAGTATGCCGAGGTCATATCAAGCGGGGCAGAGAGACAGTTGGCAACTAGCCTGGAAGACTGGCTAACCGTGACACTAGTCAGATCACCAAGGTCGCCTGATCCATGAGTTTTGCGGTCTGTTCGTAATTGTAACCCACCTAACAGCCAGGTAGAAGATGAGTTAAAGCATCTTGATTACGTGAGTCTTACCAGGCCTCGAAAGAGGTAACCTAATCTGCACGTGAGTGATACTTGAGCAAAGTGACCTGGATTACTCATTTTTTATGTTAATCGAGAATTTCCCAAGCATAAATCCGACATTTTATACTCACCCCAATTGATTTAATGTGATATAATTTACTTTTAGTACTAAGCATCCACTAACCGTATCACAATTTAGTTTCGTTTGAAGTCGTTTGGCCTTGTTTTCGCAACTTAGTCGTATTATCAGGGAGACCGAGAGCAACGCAGCTTGTGCTGAGTCCATAGTATGCATGATAATTACCAGCGTCGGACCGTGGACTTGTTAAAGTCCCAGAAGTTTCGCCGGCATCGTCAGTGAACCTTGCCATTATTAGCACCACACTACAATTCAGCAAAGAAGCAAGTCAATCCCTTGACCAACCTTCTGTCAAAAAGTTGCATTATCACCCCCTCACTGTTACAACTTCTGG